GCGAGGGGAACACACCAATCAAAACCACTAGGTCGTCCAGCTTGACATCCTCAAAGTAACCCGGCAACTCTATGGTGTCATTGGACTGCACAGGTGATTGCATGCCTTCGACATGGGTTTCTGGTGGTTGAGATCCGGGCTGAGGTTGGGCTTGGGCGGCGGCGGATGACATAAATCGTGGACAGGGTCGAAAAAGAGAAACCAGATTCGTTGATGACCCCAGTTGGCATCTCACCGCAGAAGAACACTGCTCTTCAAGCTCCGAAAGATGTTGTCTCTTGTCGTATTGGAATAAAAGTGGCTGGTGGCTGTGTTACTGGTTTTTCGTCCCTTACCTCTTTTAGAGCCTTCAGAAGATTTTTATGGGTTGGTAAGTACACGCTTTCAAATTCTGTTTTGAAAGGATGTCATCATCTATATTTGCTACTTCAGAGAGTTCGCTCGATGAGACTAGTTTTTCCACCAAGATCTCTGATCCATATTTTTATCCGTTGTGATTTCCTTTTATTGACACGAGTCTACAGATTCCGATGCTTGTTATACATAGTTATGATCTGAATTCGTACAGAAATTCAAAAAGTAGATACTAGTACACTCCTGTAAAAAAGGTTAGATCGCTCTCAATTTAGAAGGGATTCAATCTTCGTCATAGCCATCCCGTTGAAAGGGCAAACTCTTCGTCAACAGCTCCATATCGACTGTACCGCTCTTGAATAACTCTATAAATTCTTCAGATTCGGATAAATGCGGGTTTTCGTCCCTTGATGGCGACATCCTATACCAGTAAAGCCCAGCTGCGACGACGTGAAGCGGTAGCCTTCCGATCACCCTAAATAATTCTTCCGCGGTCTGAATATCGGACTCTGAAGGTTTAGGTTCCTGGATAACTTTGAAGAAAACCGCTTGCGCCGCATTCTCCGATAGCTGCCCGAGCTGAACATGATTCTCCTTTGCTACCAAGCTCGCGCGTACACGACTCTGACTATTGACGAGAATAGAACCATGTTGGCAACTTGGGATGAAGGGAGCGACATTGACACGAGCATCATCAAAGACGAGCAGCCAATCCTTTCTGGGTTCGTCTTTAGATGGTAGGCCCTTTGCTAGTACTGCGAGTGCGTCTTCCCAAGTCGCATGGCGGTGAGAATACCCCAGTGATCTCACCGCATTCTGGAGGTCTATCTGAATTGTAGCTTCGCTACTCCCGTCTATGAAGAAGACGTGAGAGAAGCTTTTCCAATTTTAGGCGTTATTCTCTTCCTCAAACAAAGCGTACCTTTGACTAAACTGGTCGCAAAAGTACGATGATAGCTGTGACTTTCCGCTCCCCTTTTCGCCAGTGATAACGACTAATCTTCTCTCCGATTTTGCAGATGGAAGAAGTCTTTGGATCAAAATCTTCATCGGCTCTTCTCGTACGACAAAGTACGGTAGAAGAGGAGGGGGCTGTCTCACAGTCACACCCATAGCCCTAGAGTGATCTATATCAACATTGTGAGCTCCTTACGAAGCTCCCCCGTTATGATGACTTACTCAGACTCTTGAGAGATAAATACCCTTTGCCATTCAAGATAAGTTTACCACAAGCTTCTATCTTTTCAGTAGCTTCTCCTTGCAAGTAATGGTGGACAAGTGATAGACAGTCGACACGGTTCCAGTCGATGACTCGAGCGCAAGTTAGTGGCCCTTGCACGGAGAAGCGATGATATATGACGGCGTCCGACAGCTTTTCATTCATCGCACTTGCTGTACGACGACAATCAGAGATCGCATCCAGCACGGCCAGCATTTTTTTGTCATCCTCCAACGCGAGTGTATCGTAGGATGGCGGAATATCCACAGTACCAATGCTAAGGAGACACCCGACCTGCCGACTTTCGCCGTATATCTGCTTCGCCTCCATTAAAATCTCTCGTATCGGATTGTTGATGCCTAAGCCCGCTCCAACATAAGAAGACCCGGAAGCAAAGGTAACTTCACTGCTAAATAGGTCGGATGAGGCGATGGTAGCTGTGAGTGCCTCCAACATTGTACACTCAATGTTCTCGCTGCGAGTCTTGTAGGTGCGAAGGTGAGTGCTGTCTCCCATATTGCTGACATTGCGCACGCATACAAACCTATAAATTCGGTCAGAGCTGTACTTTGTTCCCATATGGATGTCTGCTCACGCTAGACACTGGTCATGTTTGCTCCCGTGAGTGTTGTCCATATGGAGCTCTGGATCGTTCGGGTTGTCCCTAAGATGCAAGACATCTCTCAGTGCTCTCCTCAGCTTTTCCACACTGAACAAAGTCTCCTTCTCAGTGGCAAGACTGGGAGGCATAGGGCCCAATAATTTTGAAAGGAGGCCACCTTGATCGCGACTATCGCTCCCGGATTCGGAGAAGACGGCCTCACAGATAGCTTTGACCTTTTCCTTCACCTCGGATATTGGCTTTCGAAGCCCCCCTAGTAGGATCGCAATGAGCCTAGATAGAGATAAATGAGTCAGACAACAGATCTGTATATGCACTTTGTCGATGGAACTTGCCCTCCCAATCCAGTTCCAGCGATAAGGTCAAAGTGTTCATGAGCATATAGACAATTGGTGCCCTTAGTTTCGTCCACTTGCATCAGTATGTTCTCGAGGATGAGCAATTGCATAAGCGCTCCCACAGGGGGTCCAGCATCGAACACCAGCAGACGAAGGGGACCTGGCGGGGTACTGGCTTGGAGCGCTGTAGACATATCGAGGCAATTTTATTGAGGTGGTACTGAATATGTGTAAGGTGTCGGTGGATGGAGGGTGGGCTCAAAGACGCATCTCAGTTCGCTGGATGCTAGGGTTGATCGATCTTTTCATCCAGTGCGATAGGCTATATATAAAGCCACACCTTGCGTAGTGCCAGTTAGACCGTTTCCTACGTTATCCAGTGGCAAAGCTCACCTGATGCTAGACTTTTGGTGAGCCCCTACGGAATTCCGAATCCATCTTTTGTATTCGTTTGCCCTTCATTGCCGATGAGGCTGCAAGGAGACATTCTGAGCTGGTTTATCGTGCAATACTGGCTCGCTTGAGTCACTAGATAGAGAGCAACGAGGGCGCCAAGCTCGGGGGATTCGGCAAGGATATTCTGTCATGTTGACTAAGTCTACGGTTGGAAGGAGGCGGTTGGTATTCCTTATTTAGAGAGTAAATAATAGACGAAGAGCGCTTCAATAGCTGCTTCGACCTAGTTCAGGGTTGACGACAGGTGACGGTTGAATGAGAAGGGAACAATGGGTCGGCCTATTGTGATCACGTGACCCGTCCGCCATTGTTGTAGCCTTCATTCCTGACCTTATTGGAGGAACAATAGCACGACCATCCGGGATGCTGTGTCGCTATATATCTAGCCCGCTCATCCTGGAGATGCATCAACAATTTTTTCACGACCCCGACGCCGCCAGTCCTCCTCCCGGTTACCCCCCTACTTTCTCTTTCGCCGTAGACTTGCTCTCTGTTACGACTTAAATTTATTCACTATGGTCTGGAATTCTCAAAAGAAGCTGAAGGACCTCGAGAAAGGTTCAGACTTGGACAGCATTTCTTCGTTTGTATGTGCCTACTCTTGCACTGTTCGAACAAAAATCTAATACCATTGAAGGGCTCGGTACATGGCAAAGGGTTCATTCTCGCTCCCAAACAGGCGCACCTAGCTCCAAGCCCACCTTCGCCAACTTATCCTCGAACAGGAACCGACTCGCGGTTCACCAAGAGTCTTCCTACGAGTGAGAAGGAGCCGAAGATGCGCAGTTTCGTGCGCCGACATGCCTTCCTGATTTTCCTTGCTGTGGCACTCATACTGGTGTGCACCATCACAGCCATTGGCGTGCTCCTCAAAGCGAGGACCAGAAACAGCCCAATCATTACTCCCGACCAGCTCACAGCTGGTGGAGCATCCGACTCGGTAGCCACACTAACCGCTACTCTGCGTTGACAAGGTTTGTATTTGCCTGCAAGGACTATGACTCAAAGCTAACACGGAAACACAGATCACTTGCCTTCCTCTGAGCCCTCTCGTTGATCGTAGAAGTGTTTGAACACACGGAGCCTACGAAAGGGGTGGTCACCCACCTATCCAATCTTTTCGATCACGAACTTGATGACTTCATGACCGTACTATCCTACAACCATTGTATCCGTTCAATCCTTCCAGGCGCGAGTGGATCTCTACGCCTGTAACCTATCGCGTCCTTGGTCTCCCTCCTCCTCCTATTGATCTCGATATCCACACCCATTGTATCGTTAAACATGTTTGATATATCATGTTTACATGTAAAGTATGTGGGCAGCTACGCTTGAGAATCACCGTTCAGACCGATGGAGCATGCCATCGTCCCTTTTGAAGATTTTTATGGTTACCCTGTGGTGGAAGTCCACCAGAGAATTGGTTTCGGATAGCGGGGATGGACGCGAGTACTTGGATCGCTTGACCCCGGTTCAGTTGAATTCGTTGCATAATCTTGGAGACGAGTA